CAAAAAAGTACTCCAGAGTGTTGTTCAGCATGGGGGTGAGTAGAAAATGAAGGCTAATCATGTTTTGGGTGTACTATTCCTTTAATCCACCCGAACGCTCATCAGGTTTTTGTATTTTAGCTCAAACATCTATTTATTGAATGTTTTCCTATCGTTGAAAACACAAGAGAACCTTAATACACTGACATTTATATTTATAGATAGTTAGAGGTGCCTTTTAATGCATTATATATATTTATACGGCTCAAAAACATTAATGTATAAAAAAATAACAGCCTATTCCGATGCCAAAATCAATAAATCATGCATCCCTAGAAGTACAAGTTCAATTCCATCTAGAAAAATATGGATATGCTGCAATTTAAATATAGCATACTTTTTTTTCTTTTAAACTTTCTGGTAAACTTGGAGATATATTTCATTGCTTGCTGCATTTCCCAATAAATCGGTTTCACCTTTAAATCTGCAGCTCTCCCTGCTTCTCTCTGTTTAAAACCATTTATGAACTTAACTAATATAATGAAGCCAGAAACAACATTTCTAGATCTGTAGAATCTCTGCAGTCTGATTCTGTCTGATCAATAAGAAAACATGTTAATTTAAAAACTGTAACTGGGATCCATGGTCCTCTGAGCAGCCCAGCTTTTATAGTAAAGAAGAACGCAACATTTAAACTGTTTTCTCTAAGTTCTTGCATTATAATACTAACTTGTATAAACTTATAATCTGTTGCCATTTTTAGCTGCAAAGCTCCGTATGTCTCAAGAACTGATTTTCTATTTTCATTTAACCAGCCCGTCTCCTAACTTTTAACTTAAACAAACATGGTAGTATCTCCCGTTTGATGCTGCTGTGCGTTGTCTCAAAGCGGCAGATCCGATGATGTCACACCGAGAGGCGGGACACGGGAGCAGCAGGAGAGGAAAAGAAAACACGGACTCTAAACGTCTGAACGCAGATATCTGCACCCGACCTGTTAGCTTTAGCTAAAGTTTAGCCTGGTTTATCCTCAGAAACCAGGTCGTCTGCATGTGTCGCAGTTAACGCAGATATCCCCCCCTCCCTTCAGCAGACACTCTGCTGCACCTCTCCAAAATTGTAGGTGACCGCAGACAGGAGGCCTCTGATTGGTCAGATCAACATCCGCTCCACTCTATGCGTATTTCCTGTTTGGTTCCTTACCGGCTGGTTTTGTTTGTCTGGCCGCCATTTTGGAAAACGACTGAAGATGGAGCAGCTAGCAGAGCGAGGTGTGAGAGAACGCTGGGAGCCTTTTTCCACCTGGATCCCCGCTCTTTCTTTAGATCCACAAACCAGAGCTGATCTGACAAAATGAAATTATTACATAACAAGAAGCTTCTAGTATAGAAATGTGGGCAGTTCTGCTCCTGATCTTCAGACTCAGACCTTGTTTTCCAGATGAAATGCAAACTTTGGGACGCAGCTTTTCCCTCCGCTGTTCACCTTTCTTTAGCCTCTCCTGGTGATGTCGACAATAATTCAACATTTAGTCGTTCTAATGTTTTTATTTTTATTTTATTTTTTTTATGGTTTCTGCTTTGCTGCTCTTCCTTTAAATAAATCAATTAACATCTTAAACGACTGAGCTGCTCGCCTCTGTAGATGAGTACATTCTAATGAAGCAGATCTACGGTTCTTAGTCGGTGAAGGGACGTTAAATTAAAGAGTCTGATTGACTTAATGTACCAATTTTTTATTTGGCTGATGAGTTCTGCTAGATCTATTTCTAGCAAATCTATTTAACAGCAAATATAAAGATGAAGAAAATAACACAGAAATACTCGGGTAGATCAGACGCTATCAGGGGAGTTTATGCTGCAAAAATAGCAGCGAAATTTTCCAAGGATGCAAGGAAAGTTGACTGGAAACGATGTTCGGTCTGCAGTCGTTTCCTAAAGTAAATAAATATGGATGTTTCTGCTCCACATCCAGCGTTTTCCATTAAAGCTTTTAGAATCTTTGCTCATATTTGGATCCAGCTGCTGTGATTTTCTTCCCTTGTTTTCCTCCTTTAGGGTCCGGAGCATCCAAACCCCGGGCAGCCCTTCACCTGCAGAGGATTCCCTCGCTTCTGCTTCCTTCCTGATAACGACAAGGGCAGAAAGGTAAAGCAACCTAAAACTTGTCTGCTTCCTGCGGGGGTTCAGTCCTTAGTGGGCCGAACGCGTTACAGGCTGTAGTTCAAACGGTGCGTTCATGGTCACCTGCAGGTTTCAATCTGAGCTTCCAGATCTATAGGGATCATTCTCTGAGCATCATTCACGCTCACTAACACTACAACCGCCAAGCAGTGTTGTTTCTGGCAGCCATCTTGGATTTAATCTTAAGTCTTCAGAGCGAAAACTATAATTAGTCACATTTTAGTTATTACGATATGTGAGAGTTTTAATCAGTTTCATGTTGCAAAAAAAAGGTGAACCTTTAAAATTTGGAATAACAACCAGATTGTTTCCCAGCCTGCAGCTCTATCCTAGATGCTACAATATCTGGGTATAGAAAGCTGCCGTGCAGATCATCATTGCTGTTGGCAGAAAACTTTGATTTATAGAATTCAAATATACTTTTTTTATGAATTAATCCAATATTTTATTAAAAAGTGTCTCACAAAAGTTGTGAAAATAGCAGATCTAGTTCAACACATCCTATTGGTTAATATAGCAGACAGACGAGCTGACAGAATGTCCAGTAAAAGGGTTTTAGACATCCAAAGCAAACATTCCTGATCTACTATGAATTCTGCATTAAACACAGATCTATAAAATCTGCATTAGTCCAAAAAAAGCAAAAAACAAAAACATTTTTCTTTCTACTTTGGTCATTTTGGCTTTATTTCATCAATCCCCCCCGGTTCCTGCTGCTCAGCGGTCAAAGCAGATCTAAATTAACAGGGTTTTGATATAAAATTATGATATTGGCCTTGTATTGCCATGGCAACCCAGACCTAAACTGATTGAATATGCTGCTAAAATGTTGAAATATTTAAAGGAAAAAGATAAAATGTTTTATTGACAATACAAGGAAACATTTAAATCCTTTTCAAATAGAAACTAGAAGAATGAGAGAGAAATATTCATCCAAAAATAAACAGAATGCAATGAAATATTTTATTTTTATATACAGGGTTCCTGCAGGTCCTTGAAAAGTCTTAAAAGGCATTGAATTCTTCAATATAAAATCGAGGCCTTAATTGGTATTAAAATGTCTTAAATTAGTCTGTCATAGGTCTTAAAATTGTTACATCATAAATAGGATTTTATTTTTGTAAGTCGTATCAAACATTAAAATAATTGACAATATTTTTGGAACCGTAACCGTTATTGTTTCAGTCCTAATAGAACCGATATAGACGATGTGGCGTACGGACCTTGGGATGATGCGCCACTCAACTTTCTATCCGGACAACATGGAGGAGTTTAAAGCTATCAGAATAAAGCTAAAATAAGCTAAAACCTCTGCCAGGGAATGTAGGTGAAGCACCATGTGGATCAAGCAGTGGAGAAGCATGAAACTCAGAGCGTCAAAATGCAGTTATGGAGAAGCAGCGGGTATTTCTGCGTCAGGTAAATCCTGTTAAATCATGCGGCAACCATCAACCAATCATGTAGCGTAACGTCACTGGCATGAAGCCGGACCCGAGCAGATCTAGTAACACAGGTCGGCTCGGATGTGTCGGATCAGATGATTAGAAAATATTCTCTAAAAGCTCCAACGTGAAGGTGTCCAGTGGCGATATTTTACGACCTCCTGGTTGTAGCAGCTATAAACGCGTTGGTTTTGTTTAGGAGCCGTTTGAACGTCACCGATCTGCATTTTATAAGGACTAAAACTAGAAAGAAATTTCAAGTTAAAAGACAAATTTGATTTGAAAATGGTTAAAAGAGGAAAGACCTGAGTTTCTTTGCTAAGTGACTCTGATATAGAATAGAAGTAACAATTAACTGACTTTCATTTTTGCTTCTGACATCAAAGGCTCCATTTCTTTCACCGTCATTCATGAGGAAACGTTTGTGAAGCTTTAATTAAATCTAAATGATTTCAAAGCAACAGGTTTTTAAAATAACCAAAGCTTTCTCCCTCCGTTCTAACTGAGGATGTAAAGGTCTGTAGGTTTTTATAACGACATCATTAAACATCCTGATCAGTTGTGGGTCATCCTGACTCTGCTGCGCCTCTCTGCTCGCCATCAGGTCCTGGAGCTGCTGAAGGTGGCGTGGATGCGGCGGCTCATCTTCACCGTGGGGACGTCCAGCACCACCGGGGAGCACGACACGGTGGTTTGGAACGGCATCCACCACAAAACCGAGATGATGTCCAACCTGTCGGGCCACGGCTACCCGGACCCCAACTACCTGGACAACGTCCTGTCTGAGCTGGCCTCGCAGGGCGTGACCGAGGACTGCCTGAAACCGCCCGCCGGCAGCGGTTAGCTCCCAGCGTCGCCCACTTCCATCCCACCGCTAACCTCCGGCTCAGCCTTTAGAGCCCAGTGGGTTCCTGTGGGTCCAAACGGGACGAAAGACAAAAAAGATACAGACAAAAAAAAAAGAAAAATATCTCTGTGAAAAAGCTGCCTGGTTCATACGCTGCTGCATTCCTGCGAGACACAAACCCCAACAGGGGGGGGTGAGTCTGATCGGTAGAACCTCCCACTGGAAAACTAGTGATTTTCTTAGATTTTTCCTGGTATCATTGTTTCAGCTGCAGTAGGAAGCGGAGCTCACTTTGGGAATAAAAAATCTCATCAAGCACTTTAGTTCTGACATGAAGATTTCAGCTGACCGGTTACCGACCGGGAACACGAGCCGTCTGACAACAACACTAACCGTCAAGTAGCAACGTCAGTACAACCAACAGATCTGATGAGAAGAGGCAATACTTCACCCTGTAAATAAAGATATGAATGCATCAAAAATAGCAGAGAAAAAGAAATGCCATAAAGTCGTGACTTTTCTTCATTATTTAGCCATCCTCTGTGTAAATCTTCAAAATGGAGGATCGTCTGCAGCTGTTTCCTCTTCTAATGTCACAGTTGCTGTTGGAGGGAATGATGGTCCCGAGAAATCAGTCGTTATCGCCCCGTTTACACGAAACCTCTGAAACCGCGCCGAGTTCGGACCAAGCCTGGATGCGTTAACCGTTCCGAGTTCGGGCCGAGCCTGGATCAGTTAACCGTGCCGAGTTCGGGCCGAGCCTGGATCA